AGGGTTACTAGGTCATCAACACTCCTTTCCTGAAGATTTCATGGCCAAAACCTGATCCCGGGGAGCCAGCTATTGATATCATAGGAACTAGGCTTTGTTGCTTCCCATGCACTTTTGTGCTGCTGAAATGTAGTGAAAATTCATGCTATTGACATTCAGCAACAAACTGGGGAAATGGTCTTTTAAAAATAATATAACCTTTAATGACTTTTTCACTTTTTGGTCAAATTTCAGCAGCTTGTGGTATGTTTCACAAGATGAAAATGACTCCTAAGCTCACCAGATGCCTAATTTAGCCCTTGCCCTAAGTTGTCAGCATTCAGATATTGCCTAACTGAGGGTACATTGCAGGGTCAGATTCAACAGTTTGCAGTAACCTGAGATCAGCATATTTTAGCTCCCAATATCTTCTGCAAGAGCACAGCCATTTTCATGTTGTGTAGACCTCCAGAAAACATCCGCATCAGAAAAAGCAAGTTCTCAGTTTATAAACCTGGCCTGTGAGATGATATGCTGGCAATGGGATGGTGAGAAACTGTTGATTTCATTATCACAGGGGCAATAAAGCTGCTCCAGATGAACCGTCCCCCAGCTTAGGTTCAGAACCTTGAATAGCTCCTTTAAAATAAGACAAAAACATGGAGCAGATCCACCTGCACCCCTCCAGTGAAATCAGAGTAACCATTTTCTACTGTGTTCCTCAGATGTTGGTCTTTGGTCTACACGAGAACTGTGAAATGTCCCTCAGCATTATAGCTAAAGCTAGTACATTTTGCACTATCAACGAATTCAAGAGATGCATGCATCTGTGCAAGGATATGGATCTTTTTCTGGGTTTACCATGGAATATCTTTGCAATATTCTTCCCCACTATACCCAGACAACTCTGAACCATTTGTGATTTAAACCCTCTGTTTCCTTTATTTTCATTTCGACATATCTCATTAGGAACATAATGCAGCTTGAGAAAACATGTTCTAAAATGGTATTACTGCTAGCTTGGGATTAGGCTTTTATAACACATGTAACTGGGGAGAAGATTCCAAATTCAATTTACAGTAATGTCAAGGAGCAATAAATATTTCGGTGGCGGTAGAGGGGGGTTGACGGCCGACGACGTACTGATAGGAAGGCATCAACAAATAAACTTTTTGTGCTAGTAATTAGGCACACAAGATTATTATATGTTTAATTGACTAAAGTGACAATTTGGAATTACATCTAGTTGCATTTAATTGGATTTGGAACCTCAAGAGGGAAGAAAACTGAGAGGGGTATTGGAGGAGCAGCCATAAAAAGCAAACTGATTTTCTGAAGTCTGTTAAAGCCTGCATTAATATCCATTGCACAATAGTTTTTAATATCCTCCCAGTCTAATAAGAGCAATGTGGCAGTTGTTGCAAACATTCGGGGTGCTAAAGCATTTTCAATTAGTAGCAAAATGTGCCATCTTCCTTGCAGCCCCCCCTTCCTCCACCACCCCATAATGACAAGGGTAATTTAATCAAAGGTGAACTATGTCTGGCTTTTCCACCAAGTCAGATATTCTTCTCTAACACCAGCATCACACTAGATCAAGCATTCCCCCACTGTCTGCAACGGTATATAACGTGTGAGAGTCCGTAAATAGTTTAAAGCGAGCCATTCAAGAATAAAACATTTTTTAGTGGCAATTAAATATTTGTACACAATAAAAAGAGAAAAGAACATCAACGCTTAGGGTCGCTTCTTGCCCACCCCCTTACACAAAGACATTTCTGGCACATAATAAACTCTCTTCCTGGAATCTCCCAGTACATGCTCCTCTTTCAATGACTAATTGATATGAATATATGTTAATACAAATAGATGCATCTATACAGAACTGTGGGCAAGGTAACCAGGGTTTTGACCGACATTGCCAAATAGATATTTACTGTTGGAAGGGTATGGCCCTATCCATTGATATCTACTGTAAGCCTGCCTGTCCTCATATACTGCTTCAAGCTGCTCCTTCCCAGGCGGAAAGAAACACCAGCAAGCTGACCCAGTGTGCAACCAATATGGCCATTATGTGCCCAGACCCAGGGCTTTGCCCGCATTCCGATGTCCTTTCTCTATGTGTATCAGTGTCATGTCACCCAAGTGTAACCAAATAGGGCAGCAAATGGCTATTTCCAGTTCTGCACATACAAATAAGCCTTAGTCTAGCTACTGGGTGGAGACATAGCTCAGTGATAGCGCATATTTCTTGCATGCAATCAGTTCCAAATTCAATTGCTGGAGTCTGTAGGTCAGGCTGAGAGAGAATCCTGAGTGAAATCCTGAAGAACCACAGCCATGAGCTGTGATTGTTATCAGTGGAGTACTAGATAGACCAAAGGCCAGACTCAAAAGGAGGCAGCTTTTCTATCTCTGGCCAAACCTACAGCAAGTGTGAACTATAAAACTGTGAACTGACTTGGCACAGCAACTCTGAAGATGCTTCACTCAGCACTTTGATTGGTGATTTGAAGACATTGGGGTGTGTGGCTGTATCCCTGGTGGCCACGCCTTGATCATCATCCAGATTACTGTAGGATATGGGGAGAGGATCTGGCTACTTGTTTTTGCTGAAAAGTCCCTTTGGCAAGAAAGCATGGAATTGTTCTGTCGTGAACCTATTCCTGCTCCATTCCAGTACAGAGTGGGAGGAAATGGTTGAAAAAGGAAGAACTGTGGGGCAAGACACGGATGAACAGTATATGGATCCAGGCCCTGACACCAAACTTCAGCCTGTTAACCAGGAGCCTCATGAGCTAAAGTCACATGAAAAGGGGCCTAGATAAAGCATCTTCTGAGTCAAATTATTCTTAATACTCATCTCTCTTTAGACCAGAACCTCCAGACATCCCAAGAACTGACTGACCTGCTAGGTTCCAAAGGAGAGGGCTGTCACTCTAGAGGTTTTTGATCTTCAGGAAGCAACCAGAAACTAGGTAGAATAGGCTACACATTGCACCCATTTGTGTGCTTGGAGTAATTCATGATGCCACAACTCCAGCCAAACGTGACGCACCTGAGAAGCATCCTTGGTGTCGATTGTATGCTATGGGCTTTGTCATCAAGGCAGGATGTGATCCCCCTCCTCAACCAGGTTCTTATACTGTAGCTTCACTCTGAACTCTGAACTGACAGCTGAGGGCTAGGAAAAACACCTCAGTGGGTCATATTTGCTCAGATGCCACCAATTACTATCAAAATTACTGTACTTCTTTGGACAGTTACTTCCAAAATGCCCTAAGGCAGTATCTTTTCTGAACTCCCTTCCAAGTACCTCTGGTCCCAGACTTCATGAGTTGCCCATACTTTGGACACAGGAGCTCTCCTGCCCCCCCCCAAAAGGAGGTGAAAGGCACACTCTGTGGTCCTTGGCATGCACAGCTTCCATCCTGGAAAAACAAAAAGTAGCATGAAGATCATAAATGTAACGGCATCAATGTTCCAAATTTCTGTGCTCACAAGGCAAGGCTGTGGAGTGCTGTGGTTAGATGGACTTCAAGGCCTGAAACAAAATGTCAAGGAATACCTTATCACCTTGAACGAGTTCAGGTCTCCAGGGCTGGATGAACTGCATCAGAGAGTGCTGAAGGAACTGGCTGAAGAACTCTCAGAACTGCTATCCATTATTTTCTTGAAATCATGGGAAACAGGTGAAGTGTCAGAGGATTGGTGGAGAGCCAATGTTGTCCCTATCTTCAAAAAGGGCAAAAAAGAGGAACCTGGGAACTACAGGCCAGTCAGCCTGACATCAATCTCAGGCAAAATTCTGGAACAGATTGTAAAGCGGTCATTGTGCAAGCACCTAGAAAATAATGCAATAATAACTAGAAGCCAACGCGATATGTTAAGAACAAATCCTGCCAAACTAATTTGATCTTGTTTTTTGATTAGGTAACCTCCCTGATAGACAGAGGAAATGCTGTAGATGTAGTAGATCTTTACTTCAGCAAAGCTTTTGACAAGGTGCCTCATTATCTCCTGATTAGCAAGCTAAGTAGGTGTGGGCTGGATAGATCAAGTGTCAGGGGGATACACAATTGGCTACAAAATCATACTCAAAGGGTGATGATTAATGGGTCCTTCTCTAATTGGGAGGAGGTAACTAGTGGGGTACCCCAAGGCTCAGTCCTAGGCCCAGTGCTCTTCAATGTTTATTTTTATTAATTACTTGGATGGGGAAGTGCAGGGAATGCTTCTCAAATTTGCAGATGATACAAAATTAGGCAGAATAGCTAATACCCTAGAAGACAGAAACTAAATTCAAAATGACTTTGGTAGGATGGACCACTGGGCCGAAAGCAACAGAATGAAATTCAGCAGGGATAAGTGCAAAATACTGCACCTCAGAAAAAGAAACCAATTGCACAGGTACAAGATGGGGGATACCTGGCTCAGCAAAACTATGAGCGAGAAGGATCTTGGAATTGTCGTAGATCACAAACTAAATATGAGCCAATAGTGTGATGTGGTTACAAAAAAGGCAAATGCTATTTTTGGTTGCATTAATAGAAGTATAGTTTCCAAATCCCACAAGGTGCTAGTCCCCCTCCTAACTGTTAGAGCAGTACGACAGTGGAACCAGTTACCTCGGGAGTTGGTGAGTACTTCAACACTGGAGGCATCCAAGAAAAATATCGATAATCACCTGGCACATCTGCTTTGATCGAGGCCAACAGGGGGTTGAACTTGTAGGTCCCTTCCAACTTCACTTTGCTATGATTCTATGAATGTTGCAGCGAGGAATGCTTTGGTTTATAATTCAAGCCACTCCACCCCCTTTCCCTCTCTTGTGTTGATTCCAGTAGTTGTGATGCCTAAACAATAACATTTCTGTGTTCTAGCCCAAGACTCTATATTTCATTTAAATTTTTTGTACAATGATTTGGCCTTTATGCCACGAGCATGCCACTCTTGTAATCTCATCCATCTTATATCCTTTCCTCAGTTATTCTACTTGCTTATTCTGTTTCCATCCTTAGGAGTGCCATGGTCGCTGATTACATATACTGGCTGTCTGGAGGAAAGGAGCAGCATACCAGCAAGCTCATCAAACTGTATTGGCAGGTAAAAATTGATGACCCAGCTAGGAAAGAGGTACCCGTCCTGGTGTTAGAACCTAAATGAAGGATTGGTGCTTAAAAGACTGCCAGCTAAGGTAACTCTGGGGCGTATCAATCAAGAGGCCATTATAGCACAGTAACGTATTTATAATGAAGGAGATTTTTCCAGGATTAATTTTAAAGGTAAAAATCAAGGTTGTTAACCCTTGGCTCATACTTCAGTTTTACAGGCTACTGTAAAATTTGATTGCTGATAGTGTATCATAACCAGTTCTAGCTAGCTAGCTACCTACCTACCTACCTCACCAGTTCTAGCTAGCTAGCTAGCTAGCTACCTACCTACCTACCTACCTGCAGAGCTGACTGGATAGCTCAGTGGTTTAGATATCTGACTGTGGAGTCAGAGGTTGAGTGTTCAGTTCCTCTTTGTGCCTCCCTAAAGAGCCAGCCTATGCAGTTATGGGCACAGTGCTAGGTTGCTTTAAACATAGGGAATGATAACACACTTCGACCTATACCCTGAAAAGGATCGCCATAGGTTAGAAATGACTTGACAGCATAGAATAATAATTATTTTCTAGCTGCATCTTGTGCCTGGAGGGGATGGTGCTTCCCAAACCCTTGGGGTGAATAAGACCCCTATTCAGTTTATGAGCCACTCATGTGTGTGAGTGTGTGTGTGAGAGAGAGTGTGTGTGTGCATGTATGTGTAACACACACTAAGGTGCTGCTCTAGATTTAGATACATCAGAAATTCCTGACCAAATTGGCCTCATATAACTTGTATGAGGTCCACGTCAAAGGAGAAAGGCCAGACATTGTTCTGGAATGATGCAAAGTCATTGTATTTGTGGTCCACAGCCCAAACTGAAACAGAGGGAGCACAAATCACAATGGCCACTTTCGTTTTTTCCTCTTTTTTTCCTTGTTTTTTCGTTTATATATATATAAAAGGAGATTTTAAAGGTGTCCTAAATAAATATGATCTCTAATTAAAAGAATGGTATAGAGAGGTATAAAATAACATGTAATATTAACATTAAAGGAAGGTTGATAAATATTTGGGGAGAATTTATTGATTTTGTATTGATAAAAGGGAAGGGAGGTGCACCTGCCCAAAAATCAAGGTAATTTTGGAAGAGGAATAGGGATCCATGGAAGGAGGGAAAACTGGTGATATCTCCAAATGGTCCTGGTCGGAGGGAGTGCGATTTGTGTCTTCAACAGGCCTGCTTGGCTCTGGTATACCCAAGCCTGTAGTTTCCTAGATGGAATCAATCCATCTCTCACTTTTTGGTCTTCCTCCTCTCTTGCTCATATGAAGCAAGAAATGCCTGGTGTTCAAACTGGATTCCAAAAAGATAAACCCTCAATGGAATTTTGCAAGTATCCACTGGCTGCAAGAGTGCAGCAGAGAATTTCAGAAGAAGATACGTCTGCGCTTTACAGACTACAGCAAAGCTTTTGTGTGGATCATGAGAAACTATGGATTGTTCAGGAAGAAATGGCTGTGCCTCAACCCACGATTGTCCTGATGTGTAACCTGTATTGTGGACAAGAAGCTACCGTTCAGACAGAATATGGACAGAATGGTTTCCTATAGGCAAAGGTGTCAGACCAGGGTGGAAGAAACTTCAGTAATTTAATATATGCAATTCTAAGTGAGCAAAGACATTTTTTAAAAACACAGATCAGTTGATAGCTCTGACTGGCTAATAAATAGTCTGTGCTTAAATACACTTTCAGTAGTAACACTAGACTTATTACTACAGATGTATGGCTGGGGGACCCTTTCACTTTGGCAGCATCAAAGTCAGATGTTGGTCACTCTGACTACAACTGGTTCGGGATGAAACAAAACAATGTCCTTAGTGTGTCTTTAGAGGGGGTGCTCTAGCAGTTGGCGAAAGTCATCTGTTAGTTATGGTACATGATTTTCCTCAACTGCATATATGGCATCAGTGGTTTAGGTATCTGGCTGAGGAGCCAGAGGTTGGCATTTTGGTTCTCCACTGCGCCTCCTTGACAGGGTCTGGTATTGATGATCTATGCGAAAGTCATCTGTTAGTTATGGTACATGATTTTCCTCAACTACATATATGGCATCAGTGGTTTAGGTATCTGGCTGAGGGGCCAGAGGTTGCCATTTTGGATCCCCGCTGTGCCTCCTTGACAGGGTCTGGTATTGATGATCTATAGGGTCCCTTCCAGCTCTGCAGTTCTTAAGATTATTATTATTTAGTTTGCTTCAAGTTTGTGAATGACTAACTCTTATGGCTGAGGCATGTGTTTCTGAAGAAGTTCTGTTCTGGGACAGAAAGCAGTCTAGGTTAAGATTATTATTATTTAGTTTGCTTCGTGTTTGTGAATGGCCTTTGGAAGATAAACATGGGCCTAAAGACTAACTCTTATGGCTGAGGCATGTGTTTCTGAAGAAGTTCTGTTCTGGGACAGAAAGCAGTCTAGTCTGAGGAAATAGATCTTGTAGCGAACAGCCCTGCCCTCATCTATCCGTCACAGCTGAGCAGTGGAGAAGGAGCCAATGAGTGGACGGAAGGCGGTGCCAAGGGGGGAGGGGGCTGGATATAAAGACTGGTGAGGAGAGAGATTCTTGTAGTAAGAGACAGTGTGAAACTTAAAAGTGAACTTAGAGTGAGTTAGAGGCCTGTAAGAACGCTGAATGGAACAGAGAGTTGATAGAGCTTTAAAGTTAAAGTAGAAGCGATTCAAATATAAGTGATTAGCAACCTGTGGTTTACCAATTGAAAATTAATCAGATGTTAACTTCCCTGATCAAATAAATGACTTGTTTTGAAAGCACACATGTCTCCTTGATTAAGTGGTATTAAAGCAGTAATACCTGGTGGCAGCGAAGAAGGAAGAAGAGTGAGAACCTCGTGAAGGCCTGGGGGGGGATAGGAGCTTCAGAGGGGATCGCCACATATCTTACCTTCAACATCTTATTTTATCCTAAGCAGGGAAGAAACCTGCCTGTCACTTACATATGCTAGCATTTTACAAGGGAAAATGCTCTTCCTCTTTTGATATTGCATTCACACCTCCCTCATTCTCTTTTCGTCCAAGTGTCCCCCTTTTACATTTCTGTTTTAGGTGCAAGAGTGTCATTTCATCATGTCCGACTCTTTGTGACCCCATGGCTAGGTATAAGAGTGTCCTTTCATCGTGTCCGATTCTTCATGAGCACATTGAACAGAGCATGCCAGTCTTCCACTGCCTCCCAGAGTTGGGTTAAATTCATGTTGGTCGCTTCGAGGACACTGTCCAACCATCTCGTCCTCTGTTGTCCCCTTCTCCTTTCCCCTTCACATTTTCCCAACATCAAGATCTTTTCCAGGGAGTCTTCTCTTCTAATGAGATGGCCAAAGTATTGGAGCCTCACTTTCAGGATCTGCCCTTACAGTGAGCACTCAGGCTTGATTTCCTTCAGAATTGATATGTTTGTTCTCCTTGCAGTCCAGGAAACTCTCAAGAGCCTCCTCCAGCACCACAATTCAAAAGCATCAGCTCTTCGGCGGTCAGCCTTCTTCATGGTCCAGCTCTCACTTCCATACCTACCTCACTACTGGAAAAACCATAGCTTTGACTATGCGGACCTTTGCCGGCAAGGTGATATCTCTGCTTTTTAAGATGCTGTCTAGGTTTGTCATAGCTTTCCTCCCAAGAAGCAGGCGTCTTTTAATTTCGTGGCTGCTCTTACCATCTGCAGTGATCATGGAGCCCAAGGAAGATATTTTTTCTAGCAATCTTAATTCCACATTGGGATTCATCCAGTCCTGCCTTTCACATGATGTATTCTGAATTATACCTGATAGCCCACTGTGTTTCCTACTTTCTTCAGCTTAAGCTTAAATTTTGCTATAAGAAGCTGATGATCAGAGCCACAATCAGCTCCAAGTCTTGTTTTTGCTGACTGTATAGAGCTTCTCCATCTTTGGCTGCAGAGAACATAATCAATCTGATTTCGGCATTGCCCATCTGGTGATGTCCATGCGTAGTGTTGCCTCTTGTGTTGTTGTAAAAGTGTGTTTGTGATGACCAGCTTGTTCTCTTGACAAAATTCTATTAGCCTTCCCCTGCTTCATTTTGAATTCTAAGGCCAAACCTACCTGTTGTTCCTTTTATCTCTTGACTCCCTACTTTAGCATTCCAGTCCCCTATAATGAAATAACATCTTTCTTTGGTGTCAGTTCTAGAAAGTGTTGTAAGTCTTCATAGAATTGGTCAATTTCAGCCTCTTCAACATCATTGGTTGTTGCATAAACTTGGATTACTGTGATGTTGAAAGGTATGCCTTGCATTCATATTGAAATCATTCTATCATTGTTGAGATTGTATCCCATTACAGCTTTTCCCACTCTTTTGTTGATTATGAGGGCTACTCCATTTCTTCTATGGGATTCCTGCCCACAATAGTAGGTATGATAATTGAATTCATCCATTCCCGTCTATTTTAGTTCACTGACACCCAGGGTGTCAATGTTTATTCTTGCCATCTCCTGTTTGACCACATCCAGCTTCCCAAAGTTCATAGATCTTACATCTCAGGTTCCTTTTCTTTGCAGCATTGGACTTTCCTTTCACTTCCAGGCGTGTCCGCAGCTGAGCGTCCTTTCAGCTTTGGCCCAACCACTTCATTAGCTCTGGAGCTACTTGTACTTGTCTTCCGCTCTTCCTCAATAGCCTGTTGGACCCCTTCCAACCTGAGGGGCTAATCTTCCAGCATCATATCTTTTAGCCTTTTGTTTCTGTTCGGGGGGGGGGGGTTCTTGGCAAAGATACTGGTGTGGCTTTCCCATTCTTTTTTCCCGGCGATTGGGCTCTCCACCATGACCTGTCCGTCTTGGGTGTCCCTGCACAGCACAGCCCATAGCTTCTCTGAATTATTCAAGCCCCTTCGCCACAACAAGGCAGCAATCTGTGTAGGGGTTTCAACTTCTTATGGAAAGACAAATGTTGAAGGAGTGGGGGTGTGTGTCCTGCATC